CCTCTGGATAGTGGGAAGCAACCTTACGTGATAGAAGGGGTAAGAGAGGGAAGGTAAGTGGTGGGATAAGGGACTAGAAGATGGTAAAACGTTTTAAATTATGGGGGATGAGAGAAGGAGCTGATCAGGGACAGGTGAAAAACTTTTCCAAGTGATGTTAATGGACCAGTTAAAATTAAACATAAACTTTTAGTGATTCCAGTTCATTATAATGAGATCTTTTCATCCAGTAATACTGAGGAGTCTGACTATAGGGCTAGAGAAGCTGGACATTTGGAGTGATCTATGGCCCATGTCCAAGGTGGGTCTCCTGAGGCAGCGAGGTAGCAAGGGGCTGACGTCAGACAGCTGTGGAGAGAGTGAAGTAGGGGCAGGAGAAAATGAAGGTTCTGTAAAGTAGATTGCAAGAGAAGCATTTTCCATACACAGATTTCTTGTTTTGCTGAGGTAAAAACACAGTGAGCCTTTTCCAAAGAAATAGATGGAATCAGGAAGTTTGCATATGATGTGATGAAGTTTCCAGAGATCTCAATTAGAGGGTTAGGTGTAGACTACCATTGTCATGCCTAAATTAGGGAAATACGTGCTTTTAAAAATCCCCAAATTTATTGTAGTAAAACATACAGGTTGAAACTTCTGCTGCATTTGCATTTGTCATGAATAAAATGAACCTTTGTGTAAGCTTTAACTTGTTTTTCTTGAGTATTGAAATCTTTGTGGTTGAGTGAACATAATATGATTTTAAACTATTAAAATAGTAGTGCAACTTTGGGCAAATTATTTCATGTCTTAAGTACGTTTCAATTTCCTCAGCTGTGATACGGGACTCATATACCTACCTTTAATGCGACGTGTATTGATGAGGTAGTGTGGGCAAAGGGCTTCGTCCAGGGCCTAGTACACACTAAGTGAACAATAAATGATAGAAGTTACTGTTGTCTACATCAATTGGTCCCAACCACCTGAAGTAAAAGAGAATGATGAACACCAAAGACACAAGGAAGGTATTAGCCCAAGAGACAGAAAGGGCCACATAAACCAGAGACTT